GTAAAATTGAACTTTTATGATCATTATTCTATAGATTTTGTATTGTTTAAAAAGATTCATGATAGTGGTCTGCGGGATTCAAAATTGTGAGTTTAGTGGTCTGTGAGGTCAGAAAGGTTGCCGACCACTGCCCTACTGTATTAATTATTGTCAACTAAAATTATTTTTTGTTATAAAATTAAACTTAAAAGCATTTAAAAATAATTATTTAAAAAACATTCTAAAATCCAAATTTTACATGTTATAGAAACATAACCAAACAATTGCCTTAAATAATCTGACTAATCTGATTAATAACTCTGCTAATTTAATGCTTAATGCTAAGTAATTTGCTACTAGTGGTAGACATTATGCACCATCTCTCAACTAAATAATTATAATTTTAATAATTTAATAAATAATTTAGAATCATCTATACACATATTGGGCTTCACAATGTTTGATATACAATACAGTATTTACAATTTAAATGTAATTTAAATTACAATGTCATCTCAGCTTTTTGTTGATCTTGATCAGAAATATCAGCAACATTTTCAACATATTATGATCATATTGTTATCTTGTGATCCAGTTATCTTAACTGTATCCTGTTTTTAATAAAAAATTTTATAATAATAATAATAATTTAAAGCAAAAAAAAAAAAAATACAGGTATCCCTCATAAAACATGGTAGTTACATTCCAAAAAAGTGTCGTGTTATAAATTTGTTTTGTATAGCAAATTTGTGCTATACAAAACAAAGGACTTATGTAAAACATAAGGTTATATTCCAGAAGTTAGCAAAAGTATACCATTTTTTTTTTTTCATTATTAAGAGAAATATGTTTATTAAAGCAATCAATAATTAATTAACAATCACAATGTACTGAATTACACATTAATATTAATTTTAGTTAAATGATTGCATTTTCTTTTTACAAAGTATTATTGTCATCTCAGCTTTTTTGTTTATCTTGATCAGAAATATCAGAAACATTTTCAAATTTTATCATAAAAAATTTTTATGGATGGTGAAATAAAAATATTTTATTAATTGAAAATTTGTTCTAGAAGGTTGCATTTATTTAGTCAAGTACCAAGTGACCTTTTTCCAGAATTTGTGTTCAAATACCGAGATACTGCTGTATTTCGTTTGTCATTTTTATGAATGAAGTAATCATTCTTAGATAATACTTACAGTTAAAAGAGTTTTAATAACACTTACCTAAAGATGTTTAATCTTCATATTCAATAAAGTTTATTTACTCTATAAAAAGAAAACACAATGACAGTCTAAAGAGTCATTGTCTGAAAGCCAAAGTCTGAAAGCAATGACAACAACATGTGGTTGATATGACAAGAAAGAAAGAAAAAATTGCACTAACTTTCCTATCAGTTTTCATTAAAGTAAACCTGAGGAGAAGCACAAAATTTGAAAATTTCAATATTCTAAAATTTATGGACAAATTTGAGACAACACGTATGCTAACTTGAATAAAAAAAGTATCAAATAACAAAGTTTACACTTGAAAATTATGAAATTTTATATAGAAGATTTTCAAAACAGTTTTTGAGAGAAACCGAAATTTGTGTTGTACAGGGGACAATTTTCAAACAGTGTTAAAGCAAAATTGTGTTGCATGAGGGATAACTGTATGTTCATTTTTTTATACTGTCTACAGTAATGTTTTGATCTTTCCTTTTTTCTCTTCACATTCAAATAAGTATCAATATATAGTGGTATAAGGAAAGGGCTACAGAGCTTAAACCATCCCTATTGACAAAAAAAAAATTTATTTGTTTGAACTTAAAAACATTACTGTATTGTTAAAAACATGTATGATAGAAAATATGGTCTATTGGATCCACCACCATTCACATACTGTTGATTTCTTAAATAGAAGTCACTAAATAAAAGCAAACAGTCTATACGAAATTTGTTTATTATTTAAAATTATAAGCATTAATCTAAATCATCCTTTCTCAAAGTGGATGATAACACCCCCTTGAAATATAATAACTGCAGCTAAATATAATAAATATTTATAAAGTTTTTAAGTATTAAAAGATAATTTAAAAGAAGCTACTAAAATATTCAGGAAGTGCAAAATTTAAGTTTCCTTATTACATCTAGCTGTTATGTGATGTAATACTTATAATAGTAATATATTAAAACTGAAAAACTGTACAGTTATTTATTTTTATGATTAAATAAATAAAAAATTTATATTAAACAAATTTAAAAAAACAAGTGAAAATTAAACGATATATAAACTTAAATTTATTAAATAAAGAAAAAAGATTTGAGTTAAAGTTGCAAGAGGATTTAATATATCAGCTTAATACAATACTTATATAATCATATATAATAAAAAAAATTTCAGCTAAAATTCTGTGTGACCAATTAAAACTTAAAATTCAGTTTTAATCAAATGAAATCACTTCTTTTCTTTACATTTCTCAATTAAAAAGCTCAGACTTCTTTGACAATATTATTTTCAATGAAAAATATTTTTTTCATTAAAAACAATTTAAATCCAAATCATCCATGTTATTATTCACTTATTTATATTATATCTATAACAAAAAGTTTCCTATAATAATAGTAATAATAATAATAATCTAAAATAAAAGGATGAAAAAATAGTATATTAATGTACATTTTCTACACTATTCAAAAGAAATGTTTCTAATTCATTCAATATTCAAATAATTATCATATATGCAAATAATTCTATTTGATTGCTAAACAAAGTTTTCTTTTAACAGCTTTTGAATTACAGTATTAATAACAAAAAGCTATCAACACTTCATATCCAAAACATTAAATGTAAGATAACATAGTTTGATCTGATGAGTTAGTTTTATGTGCACATATGGAAGTTTAAATCAACAATTATTATTTATATAACACTTAAATTTAATTCAGTAAATATTTTCATACTAATCACAAAAATTTAAATATTTAAAAAAATTTTATCTAATTATGCCTGTAACAGGAAATTACAAAGTTAAACACAGAAAGTAAATAAATTTACAACAGGAACAAAAATACAATGTAACTACAATAAATTTTTTTAATCTTAATGTAAGAAATATAGAAAATTTATTTATTATACCATTAGAAACAGACACCCTAAATAATATTATTATTATTAAGTTGTCATAATTTTCATATTAAGTATTACTTTTTGGACAAATTTAAAAATCAAAAGTGTACAAATAAAAAATGAATTTAATTTCTTTACTCAGTTTAAAATCATAAAAAGATTATTTCCTCTCTTTAAATAAAGATATCACTTTAATTTACTTCTGTTACATAATTATATTAAAAGAAATATTCTGGTTNTTTGACTAAATTTGATTTCTTCATATTTAATCAATGTCTGTAAAATTAAAGCCATTTAATTCTTACTAGTAATTGAAATATTTTATCATAAATAATAAAAAGTATAATAAAGCATATATATCACAAATAATGTTTATTAAAATATTAATATTTTAAACACTAATGGATATATATGTTAGATTGTTTTAAAAGTTACTTTATAATACTGAAAAATTACATCAGTTAGATTAATTTAAAAACATAGTAAAATACTAAATCAAAACAAAAATATTTCAATTCAACTTATTGAAATGAAATTAAACAATGTTTTGTAATTTTAGCTGCTTATGATGAAATTTTTGAATTACAAATGACATCTAATAATTAAATAAACAGAACAATAATTTGTATATTACATATATTCTTCTGATACTTATAGCCACATTTGATACGTATTTGTAGATTCACTATTTTTGACTAAATATATAATCATAAATTATTAAAACTGTTATAATTTGTAAAACTAATTTAAAAAATCTTTTAGAGTTACGAGCTAGACTAATTATTCACAAATATTCAATCTTTTCCTCTTTTGCAATTTTCCAACTTATCTTTGAATACTAATAATTGTTTATCAGCTCAACATTTCCATTAAGAATTAAAGGAAGTTACCAATTTTTTATCTTTGTAATACAAACCAGTTATCAGTCAAATACTATGGCAAAAAGAATTATAGCAAAAAGAATTCACCTACATTTCATAAAATATCAATTAAATCATACATAGGATCCATAAACTATATGTTCAACAAATTAATCCATTTTACTTAAAAATGAATACAAATCAATTAAAGATAATTACAACCTGCACAAATCCATTAAAATTGATGGAAGTTATGATTAAACCAAGTAAAATTGAGGCTGTTGTAAATAATTTGTCGTCGTCATTATTCTAATAATTGACAAGAAAAACTTTTTTCAAACCTAAAAATTTTCTATCAAATTTCTTAGAAAGTAAAGTTTCAATTTCGTTCAACTATCGTAAAAACATAAATATACTTATTATAAATATTGACAAATGGTAAGTTGGTTAGATATTTACCTGATGTTCGTAAATTCGATAAGTTTATCAGGATTTAATTAAATATTTTTAAAGGAGTACAGTATACATTCCAAGGATCAGAGACCTTGATTTACTCCCATTAACTGGAAAATCCAATCCGCCTCCTAATAAACTGCCATCTGCTGGGCATTTACTGGATTTTAAAAATTCACTTGAAATATTAAAAATCTTCAGAGTAATCAAAATTCAAACGAGCAATTCGTTTCTAATTTTAATTAAAATTATTTATATATTTTTTTAAAAATAAGTAAAAAATATTTTAAANCAAAACGGATACTAGCGACCGCCATTTTACTTTAAGTCAAAACATTCAAGTCTGTATCACGTGTTAAGCAGGATCGTCACTTTAGAATCTAATTTTCTCATTTATATCTAGACTGTTTTGTCTGTCTCTAGATTTGAGATTTAAGCAATTAAATAAATAATATAAATCTAGATTGTTTCATCTCGAATTTAGCTATTTTCTAGATCTTATGTAATTATAAAGAAAATAAGATCAGAGTTTAACTGGTAAGTGTAGTACAGTACTATTAATATTTTTATAACTGTAATATTTTTATAACTTACGTACGAGCCAAGTCTTGGAGGACTTTACCATAGCCAACTACAACAACAGGTCTAACCACGAACGCCACCATTTTGTAAGATGGCCGACAATAATGACCTATGATTCATACTTAAGTAAACAGTATTTACATGTATCATTAAACGTTCCAGCTATTTTATACACATAATTTAGTTTAATTCATTTAATTCTAACAAAAATATAATTAAAATAAACTAATTCTTAATCATTAAACATTAATTATTCCTATTATCGTTAATAAGTCATAAATAGATAACATAACAATCTTGAACAAGCACACTGCAAATAACGATTGGAATTCAGACACTCGTTAATTTCTCTTAGAAAAACAAAGCAGCTATAATAAATGATTTTGTAATAATAATAATAATAATAAAATAACACAATAAGAGCTAAAACAAAAAATATTTAGTATTATTTTATTTTTATAAATCTTTATTTATATTTAGAGCACTAGGCCCAAAAATAAAAGATTAGTTACACTATAAATTTTAATTATTACAATTAAACCATATTATATATAACTTACATACATAAAAATATAATATGGAAAAAATTTCTCAACTTTATATAATATCAATTCGAAACATAAAATCCAAATGACTTATTTTAATGCAGTGTATATAATTTCTGTTTATTAAAACTTTTAGTTGTCAGTCTAGTTGCAAATTTTCATATGATTATTAATTAATAAAGATATTGCAGATAATAGGAATAACTTTAAAAAACATATCAAAATTCATTACATCACACACACCATCATTTGTAAAAAGTTTTCGTAGTATTGCATTTAATAATAACTTCTAGTTGCCATATTTCCTCATACTGGATTAGCTGTAACATTAATTAAATAAATGTTCTAAAAACTGTAACATGAGAAATAATTTTCTTTGCATAATGCCAGGCTACAAAGTATTAATTAATCATACCATTTATAGGTTCTAAGGGTGGTCACCTTAAGCAGGTCCTACTGTATTTCTATTTTCATATAAAATTTCAAATTACCGGTATATATCTGCAAAGACTTCAACTAAGTATGAGCTTATTAAACATTAACTAAATGCCTGGTCATATTTGCTTTTTCCAAAATCATAAAAAAAATTTCCGTAAAATTTTATAAGAGAAAATTAGTTTATTTTTACTTAAAATTTATTACTTTAAATAAATAAAATGATTAATTCTTGCTGTATTCATTAACATTAAGTTAATTAAAGGGGCAGCAGGCCCAGATTAACTATATATATAGGGTTCCTACTCAAATTTTTGTTTCAAATTCCGTGACATTCCCTGACCAACTTTGTGCAAATTCTCCAAAGTACTGTACAACACATTGACGAAATAAAACAGCATACGACTTACTATGCAAATATGCTATTGCTTCTTTGACTTTTTAGTCCGTTATTTTTTCTAATTAACAGTTACATAATTTTTATAATTGCTGAATAATTAAAATTAAAAATTAAATGTTTTATTAAATTCATCCACAACCATAAATCTATGTGGCTTTGGAAAAAATAAATAAAAGCCATTATTTATTAATCCATATACAAAAGTATATATTTATTAAATTTATCTCTTAAGAATATTCCTGAACTTTATAAAATATTAATAAACGGGGGAGGGAAGATCGGAAATTGTTTTTATAACAAAATCACATAACAGATGGCNCCCTTTATAGAGAAGGCCGGCCCTGGTGATTATCCTACAGAATTTTTCTGAATACATACATATTCGTCTCATACATGATATTCCGAGTTTTTATAATGATAACTAAATGATGATATCTTTTCTAATGAGGCTTTTAAGTCAAAATTTAATTGCAATTTAAGAGTTGTAATACTATTAACGATTTTTTGATTTTTGCAGTAGGGGTGTGCGAGATCTACCAATCTCCCGCCGTAGTCATAAACTTTTCTACCCAGAACTTGAAAGTCAATCTATCATTCTCCGATTACAAACAAACCCGATGTCAATCGGTGAAACTTGAGATAATTTACAGCGAAATTTGAAATTTTATGTTTATTTTTCAGCGTTTTTTGAATCAAATTACATTTAAATAAAAAAATCTAGCAACGAGTTGTGTAACTTTCACGGCTGTTATGCGATTTTACTTATGATTAATGATATAAAAAAATCCTTTTACATCAAAATTGTGTGGGGCGCTATCTGTTATGAGATTTTGTTACAAAAATTTTATATATTTTAATTATTATAAAGTGGCAAAAGACTTAATTTTCAGGGTAGAGATGAGTTTTATTAAAGAAAAAAAAATGTAATGAAAATTACGACGAGCTAGAATATACTACATAGAGTGTCTGTTTTCTTAGATACAGCACTCTTGAGGCGCGCGTTTGGAAATTGTAACTGGTGTTACCGATAACTGCCGGTAGTTACCACGCGTTTAGAAAATGTGACGAAAATAACCAACCGCGTTTAAAAACCACTGTTAAGCAGGATGCACACATGCGGCGCGGCAAGGAAAAGCGGTGACACAAACGCATCTTCGCCGCGCGGCAGCACAACCACACAAGCGGCAATCCGCTTACATTTCGGCGCATGCGTTCAGTATTCAAGATGGCGAACGATATCCACGTGTTTACACACTGTCCCTATCCACGTGTTTACAAATTTTGTTTTGTATGACTCGCTTTATTTAGCTAAAAGATTTTGTCGAAGATTTGAATTAGAGATACTTTTTTGGATCGAGAAAGAACTGGTGTACAAAATAGACTTATTCGTGGATCAAGATCTCTCGATAAAGAATACTATTTCGAGTAAGATTCGGTTGTTTTGTTCTTTGAATTAAATTATATATGATTATTTGTGTAGAATTTGTTTTAAATTTGTTATCCTTTCCTCTTTATTCTGATTTTAGTTATCTCGGTTAACCGCCTCGAACTTTCCGCCATTAAAACACCACGTGATTGTATTTTCTCACGTGACTACGAGACAAACTGTTATTGGCTGATAGAAACGCGTCTTGGCGGCGTTGCCGCAAAAGATAGAATTCAACCAACTTTTGCGGCACGAGAAAAGCGGCACAAAATCGACTTCTGCAGCGAGAAAAAGTGACGTCATTCTGCCGCTTTTCCTTGCCGCGCCGCATGTGTGCATCCGGCTTTATGACTCGTAACAATGATTTTGGCGCGTTTGGAAATTGTAACAGTAGTTACAATTACCAAACGCGCCCTTGGTGGCAAAACGGATACTAGCGACCGCCATTTTACTTTAAGTCAAAACATTCAAGTCTGTATCACGTGTTAAGCAGGATCGTCACTTTAGAATCTAATTTTCTCATTTATATCTAGACTGTTTTGTCTGTCTCTAGATTTGAGATTTAAGCAATTAAATAAATAATATAAATCTAGATTGTTTCATCTCGAATTTAGCTATTTTCTAGATCTTATGTAATTATAAAGAAAATAAGATCAGAGTTTAACTGGTAAGTGTAGTACAGTACTATTAATATTTTTATAACTGTAATATTTTTATAACTTACGTACGAGCCAAGTCTTGGAGGACTTTACCATAGCCAACTACAACAACAGGTCTAACCACGAACGCCACCATTTTGTAAGATGGCCGACAATAATGACCTATGATTCATACTTAAGTAAACAGTATTTACATGTATCATTAAACGTTCCAGCTATTTTATACACATAATTTAGTTTAATTCATTTAATTCTAACAAAAATATAATTAAAATAAACTAATTCTTAATCATTAAACATTAATTATTCCTATTATCGTTAATAAGTCATAAATAGATAACATAACAATCTTGAACAAGCACACTGCAAATAACGATTGGAATTCAGACACTCGTTAATTTCTCTTAGAAAAACAAAGCAGCTATAATAAATGATTTTGTAATAATAATAATAATAATAAAATAACACAATAAGAGCTAAAACAAAAAATATTTAGTATTATTTTATTTTTATAAATCTTTATTTATATTTAGAGCACTAGGCCCAAAAATAAAAGATTAGTTACACTATAAATTTTAATTATTACAATTAAACCATATTATATATAACTTACATACATAAAAATATAATATGGAAAAAATTTCTCAACTTTATATAATATCAATTCGAAACATAAAATCCAAATGACTTATTTTAATGCAGTGTATATAATTTCTGTTTATTAAAACTTTTAGTTGTCAGTCTAGTTGCAAATTTTCATATGATTATTAATTAATAAAGATATTGCAGATAATAGGAATAACTTTAAAAAACATATCAAAATTCATTACATCACACACACCATCATTTGTAAAAAGTTTTCGTAGTATTGCATTTAATAATAACTTCTAGTTGCCATATTTCCTCATACTGGATTAGCTGTAACATTAATTAAATAAATGTTCTAAAAACTGTAACATGAGAAATAATTTTCTTTGCATAATGCCAGGCTACAAAGTATTAATTAATCATACCATTTATAGGTTCTAAGGGTGGTCACCTTAAGCAGGTCCTACTGTATTTCTATTTTCATATAAAATTTCAAATTACCGGTATATATCTGCAAAGACTTCAACTAAGTATGAGCTTATTAAACATTAACTAAATGCCTGGTCATATTTGCTTTTTCCAAAATCATAAAAAAAATTTCCGTAAAATTTTATAAGAGAAAATTAGTTTATTTTTACTTAAAATTTATTACTTTAAATAAATAAAATGATTAATTCTTGCTGTATTCATTAACATTAAGTTAATTAAAGGGGCAGCAGGCCCAGATTAACTATATATATAGGGTTCCTACTCAAATTTTTGTTTCAAATTCCGTGACATTCCCTGACCAACTTTGTGCAAATTCTCCAAAGTACTGTACAACACATTGACGAAATAAAACAGCATACGACTTACTATGCAAATATGCTATTGCTTCTTTGACTTTTTAGTCCGTTATTTTTTCTAATTAACAGTTACATAATTTTTATAATTGCTGAATAATTAAAATTAAAAATTAAATGTTTTATTAAATTCATCCACAACCATAAATCTATGTGGCTTTGGAAAAAATAAATAAAAGCCATTATTTATTAATCCATA